TTTGCCGTTGTTTCCAGCAGAAATGTGGTCGCTTTACAGGTCATAGGGTGATCATCAGCCAAAACCGTATGAACAACTACGTGGAAGCAGCCAATCGACGAACTCAGACCGAGTAGGGCAGGTCACACCCCTCGGTATGGAAGCTAATTGATAGATTCCGTAAAGCGCAAAGGGCCGTGAAATATACTACGAACAACTTTCTGCCGGTCATCAGCCACCTGTAAAGTTGGAGAAGTTTCGGGACGCGGACGACAGAATAGTTTTTGTTGTGAATGAGTATCATAATAAAGATATTGTTACTTACCCTTTTGGCTTAGCACATAACTACGAAGTGGCGCAATGGTGTTATATATTGCATATAAAATTTTGCTGTATAGATAAAGTTATTTTATGTTTCGGCTCGTTGTTCGTACACGAAAAGTCGAAAAATTTTGTGAAATAATTGGGCAGTTTGGAAACTAATTTGACAGACGTTTTGGTATTGCACTAATTTTATTATTATGTAAATATGAACATCTGCTGATGGACGAAATCTTACAATCTTATAAATTTATTAGTTTGAGAGAAGTGTCACATTGGACTCCTGGAGAGCCTTTTATGGATATGTAACGTGATAAGTTGGATATTACATTTCATCGAGATGACCGTAGTCCATTCATATAGAATCAAACGCGCCACAGGACTGCACGCTGATAACGACTATCGATCATCGCCGAAACGGCCGCGCCGAATCGTCACATACGTCTCTGCAGGGGTCGTTGGCGGTGGTTTATTCGCGTGTGATTTTCATCAGATTAGGACGAACTACAGTGCACGGTTAGGATGGACTAGTTTTCAAGCAGAGGATACTCAATGTCTCGCCTATTTTCATCAGTCTTATTTGCCTAGTGTTTCAGAGTTTGGCAGAAACCTTCACAGCTAAAGTGAATGGATTCAGCTGTATTTTATCACCACTTACTGTATTTGTCTTCTTCCGTTGTTGTCTCTTTCCTCTTCGTTTCAACTTGATTAGATGAAAGGTTAGTCTATAAAGGACAGACAACCCATAACTTCTTGTCCGCATTTAACTGCTGAAAATCAGTTTCAGATTTCATGGCTCGAAACGTCTATCGACAGGTGTCTCAAAACTGGTGCTGCGGGTTGCTTATAGCGAAGTGAAACTGTCGCTCATTTTCCTTTTCACTGCGATCAGAATGACATATCCGTCGTAACTTGCATTAAATTTTCTGTTCTTCTCTGTATTAATTTTCAAGTCAGGCGTTGTCTGTACATAACTAATTAATTTTGTTTTCAGATCAGAGTAAATTCTCTCATTTGCTTGTCTCGTATAATTGTTCATTTGGAAAGTTGGATGGTCGTCGAGCAAATAATACCCGCTCTTTCAAAGATTTCCAGCAAGGAGCCAGGTGTTCTTATGTCAGTGTTAGGTAACGTTTTACTGCTACTGTTAGACATCTTAGGTGAACATTTGGGAAACCGTCTGACAGCAGAATTCCCAAACAGCTGTTGCGCATACATAACAGAGCTTGGCTTATTGAACGCGACGTAACGTTAAATGTTTATCTGGCTAGTAATTGACAGAAATCAGCTGAGTTTAGTCATTAATGCTGGAAAGACAAATCACACACATTCAGCAGATTTATGCGTCCTTGTGCAACGTATCCTTCCTCTTAGAGGCGTGGGGACTCGTTTATACCGCGACTTTACGGTATTCTAGTATCACAGTGCCTCATTGCATGCCGTGATTCACCAAGTAATCAGTTTTCTTTGATTATCATCTGCTCACGACATGGTATGGAAAGAGCCATGCTCTTGAAAATATCGCGTATATGGATACAAGCAAAGACAGATGTAGTCAACTGCTATGCTGTGCATTGATCACCGCCCTACTTTCCGTCAGCATTTGAAAAATGTGGCCAAAAAACGTAGGCATTTACCAGTTGGGTGCCCCGGTAAGTTTTAGGCAGCTAAGGCGAAATGAATCCGAACCACAGCCACTGCAGTAGTGTACTTATCAGTGAAATATTTCGCGCTGATAGAGGGACGAAGCTGCTATATAAGAGATTTTGACAAAAACGGCATGATGACATGTGCATTATAACTTGGACTCCCAAGTTCACACCGCTCCGGTGACTTCCGTTATTATCAAGCATTGCATCGCTGCGCATAAGAGAGGGAAATAACTCCTGTCGTTAATAGAATTCGAAAAAAATTCTTGCCTCCAAACGAACAGTGATCTGACGGTATTTTCTTAGACTGAAGTCCTACAAAACTTTCTGGACAATATAAGAGTAACCAAGCCAGCGATAGATCTATGCATGAATAGACGGAATCCCTTCCAGTCCGGGTAAATGATTCAATACGCTAGAATACACTGAGATGATCTGTTTCAGAAATTGGGGCTGAACAAATCTCCCAAGGCAGTTGCGCACTGCATCTGACGTTTCTGCCCAATTGAACGAGTGTTTTCCTCAAGAATACTAAAGAAAATCTCTGGCCTGTCAATACAGTCCTGATAGAAGCCTGGTTAGATTTTTCTTTGGGCATCATCATACACTGGCCTAGAAGATCATAAGATCCTGTTATGACACCATTCAGACCGTTGTTTTAAAGAAAGACGGAAAACGATAGTAAATGGCCGTATAATAGTGCTAACTTCAAAGCCAAATGAGGATTAATGTGCATAATCATGTAAAGAACTTCTATATCCTTTCTCGGATACTGGTATCTTCAGTATAACGATAGTTTAGGAAAAGGATTAAAGCCATGATCGAAATTCATTAGGCACAAAGTTTTCACTCTAGTCCGCGAGCATTTCACGTAGAAACTGAAGCCCCACCGATGTCAGCCAGAAAGTGAACATGCAACTTTACTGAATTGGACAGATACTGAAGTGCGTGCAAAGACAAATCGTCTTTTCTGCGATGCTACAGTCGCTATTTTGTAGTAGCCCTCCAGGAAAGCTGAATAGTTCGCATACGGCACAGACCGAACACGCCCTGCAAATGCCAGCGGCTCAATTACATAATTTTAACAGACAGACCATAGTGGATTCCACTGGCTTAATTAATTTTGTGGTTCTCTTGTACATAAACGCGTCATTCTACAGCGTCGATGGTTTCAGTGTTTCAGATTCCATAACAGTGTGAATGAACAGTATTTTGATTAATTATGCTTTTTAGGCATTTTTCTTCTCGCATACCAAAATCCGAAGTTTTGTTTGACTAAAGAAGTTTGCGCAAAGTATTGTTTGCCGTTCCTTATTTCTGCCAGCGTGGAACATTCACTGAACCTGAAGCAGTTTGACGCATTTTTCTCGCTGATCATGCAGATGTTAAAGAAAATTGAGACCGAACAAAGGAGACATCTCACACCAGAAAATGAGTTCAAAATCATTGCCAAGTAAATAAGCTGCCTAATCTTTGGTTTCATCTTCGATAATCTAATAAATAAATATATACCATAATAATGGCGATGCTTTTTTTTAAAAAGTGTTTTGTGGCTTATATACGGCAAAGTATTTATTAAAATAGCAGGAGTATCTCGATTATTTCTGTGCTGGCATTGGGAAACTAATAACAAAAGTAATTAAAGTAAAAAGGAAAGTAATAACAAAACAGGCGGAGGAGGGTGAAATTAAGTTTCTTTATAAGGTTAACGATGCCAAGCCTTCCGTTAGAAAAGATTTATTCATGTCTAACTCTAGTGGTACAATAGCCAGGCGTGGTAGATTCTATGTAACGAGTTTTCTAAATTATTGTACAAAGACGCTGTACTGAAAAGTGCATAAAAGCGGTTTGTTTATACACAACGCAAATGAATAAATTGGCCAATAGGGTGATTAAGCGGTACCGACGTTTTGGCTCGTTTCTCACGGCTTTCTTCAGAGTGATCCAGGTTGGTTTCTGCATGTGGCTGTGTAGTCCGTGGCCGTTGTGGCGTCTGTATCCGAGGGGCTGAATAAGCCATTTTTATGCATTTTTCATTTTTCAGAATGAATATCAACGCACAAACAAATTACGCAGTCTTTAAACTCGCTGCACTGTTTAACTGAGCATTACGGCTGACTGGTGTTTATATCCTGAAGGTTATGTTATAACTGCATGAAACCAGTCCACGGGCTTACTGCCTCTTACTAGACAGCAGAAGACATTTATGCAAGTTGCAGGTCCACGATATTCTAACTTCTGAAGCGCGTAGGTGCCTTGTGCCTTCCTCATCATTTCTGTTGATTAGAGCTGTTTTGCTCGACACAAATGATGTTTCATATACTGATGCTATTTACGTACTTTATCAGGAACATTTACTTAGGAAGGAGAATTCGAATACAAGGAATGTGTTTATTCATTTTTGCAATTTGCTGTTCGTTTTTTATTGGGGGAATAACAACTATAGAATGCTTTTTCAATGGTCCGGTCGTTCGCCAAGTGAATAAGCATCATGTATTGAATTCTAAGGCGCGACAGTGCGAGGCGCTTAGTATTCCTGGGTGATCCGACTGTTGCTCTGTTCCTTGCTGCTTGTCATGTGGCGCCCTGATCGTATATCGGAACCGTTGCAGTTGTGATCTTTAGATTTGCAGAAGGATCAGTTCACAAACGACGTGATTTCAGATCGCTGTGTTCCAAAACTTGTCGAACCTGATCATGCCGCCAGTCATTCGAAAGAGCATCGTTTCTGCCATTTGCGTCCCGTACCGCACTCTGTTGATCAGCGTCGAGCACTTGTGACCACAGATGAGGGCAGATGCATAGATAGGGCGGAAGAGGGGTAATTTCACGTTACTGCACACTTCAGCTTCTTCATCACCACTAGTTGTTTTAGCTACAGCTTTACTGTGCTCGACTGATCGACTCCCGTATCTATTTCTGTGCCTTGCGTAATGCCACTCGCAAATTTTACTCCGAGATTGCTAAACCTGTCTACCCGTCTCAGCAGGAGCAGACTTGGCTGCTTGATCGCAAACCGTGATGGCTGAAAGATTATATCAGGAACCGAGAAAGCCGCGCTTGCTGGGAGAACGCTCAAACCCGCTACGAATGGCACAGGTTTTGCGGGCTGCGCGAGTTGTCGCTGATTGCTGGCCGATCCCAGTGATTGACCGCTTGGTAACCAGAATTAAGTTTCGCTCTGCAAAATTGCCTTTGGAATCCCGATATCTCGACGATGCCTTACAGCTGGAAAGATCCAATTGTTGGATCGCCGGGTGGGGTTAAGTACCGCAGATCCCATCTTTCTTCCAAGCTTCTATGATGGGTCTGACGTAGATGTTTTGGGACATGAACATGGCGGTGTTAGCCCCAACTTAGTCTGTTATAACTTGGCGTAGTAGTATACTGAACGGCTCTTGCCCAACGTCAAAACTCATTTGTGTCAACAGCGTTGTATCTTAGCTGAGGTGCAGGAGTGCAGCTGCATATAAAAATCTGTCTCGTGGATGATCTGGCCAGAACCAGAAGACGTTTGGCGCGGACTCCTTGGAATATTGACGGTGGAGAAGAGCTAGAAATTGTTCTCCCCTGTTGTGAATTTGTCAATATTCTGTGTTGGCTTAAGTACTTCGCTGAATTCAGTTTGGAGCTTTCAGCAGCGTGGATGATGTTGAAAAAAAATATAACACGCCAATTTCCTCCATAGATCATGTTTTGTTTTTACGCGTTTGAGAAGGAAGTTATCGAAAATTATTTAGTTATACATGCGTCCTTCATGTGAGTAGATTGTAACTATCAGTTTCTGCCATTGGATCATCATACAAAAATGATGAATTATGAATTAGCGTTCTTCATAACTTCTTTGATTGAATTAGGTTTTATCTTTTTCGTATTGATAGGTGCGGTTTTACATTACGGCACGACGAGAAACAAATGTGCAACTGTTGCAAATCAAACTCATGACGTTTTTAAACTGGTTTTTCTTTTTCTGCTTGTAGCTCACCCATCACAAGCGAGTCGACGCCGCTAAACGCGATGAGCATTAAACCGATGACCAACTCGGCTGAAGTTCTCTCGTCTAGCCGGTCGGTAAGTGCGGTTATGAGTCGCATATGATTAACACTGTTAGTCGAACAGCATTTTGTCTGTTTGTTGCAGGGTACACAGCTAAGTCTTGAAGACAAGAAACGGCTGGCACAGGAGCAGGAGAAGACGATGCAGCTGCGTGCGCAGCCGATGCTCATGCCGGAAACCGTCCCTGCCCCAGTGCGCGGTGTCGGATACGGTTTAAACGCCGCAACTTCCGACTCGTCGTCCGTTGCTCAGCGTTTCACCGTAGGACCGCCTTATCTGGCACCTTTCGTTCACATACCTCCGCCGGTCAGTCAGATTCGCAATCCAGTATGTTTCCCGCCTGCGTCGAACTATGTTAGGCTTGCCGTCAGTGCCAATAACATTTCGACTGACCCTGCCATTACTACGTTTCCTTCCGTAGTGGACTCTGTAAACTGGAATCAGTCGATCGATTCGGAATCAGCTCCCCGTAAATGTACGCCGTTAATCGACCCTTTTAAGGATTTGGTCAAGTTCTGATATTACTGAATTATTCATTTTTCTTTATTCACTTTTCTTTGCTGCTGTTTTTCACGCGGTTGGTTTATTCAAAATATTCTCTCTTCGGTTAGTTTTACTCATGATTATTATTAAGAGAAAACGTTTGCGCGAGCAGTAAAGTTTAAATCGCAGTAATACGTCGCTGTTCCTTATTTCAGCTGCGGGCGAAAATTTTATTACGTAAAATCACTTAGGTTTATTTCAATAAACTGCGCGTAACTGCCTACCACGCACTCAAAACTTACCAGACATTTCGTGATTTCGAAGTTTCACATCAAGATAGCAACAGTAGAACAGCAGAAAAGACAGATAAAGGAATGAGTGCCAGCAAAGTTTGATTGACTTCATCTTCTATCGCCGCTTCTCCTTTCGGGTCGCGGAGGCAGACTGGCCAGACAGAGCTTCCAACGTTCCCGATCCTGTGCCAGAGTCTGAGCTTCGGCAAAAGACAAATGGAGTTTGAAACAGACTCCTTCCATATATTTGCACCAGGTTAATCTTGGCCGTCCTCTGGGCCTTTTGCAGGTCGGATTTGCGAGGAACAGTTGCTTAGCCTTCCTTTCTGGAGGCATTCGCAACACATGCCCAAGCCAT